TGCGTTCCGTTTGCCGGTCCCCAGTCCGGTGCGGGGGGAACACTGAGGGTTGCGATCCGTTGCCAGACACGGAAAAAGACAAAAAAAAAAAAAAAAGAATGCATACTTTGAAGTCAAACTAATACAGGTTCAAATCCTCACTCACCACTCACCAGCTGAGTGATGTGGAGCAAGTTACCTAGCTTCAGTGCCCTCACCTGCAAAGTGGAGGTACCAACACCTGCCCTCAACGCCTGCAGGAAGTAGAACCTATGTAGAGCGTTCAAGCACAGCCACTGGCCTATGATAGGTGCTGAATAATTCAGGGCTGTTTTGATAATTATGATGATGATAATGATGATTACTATTAATAGGTTCAGATAAACAAAAAAATAGAAATGATCATAAGGACCATTTACAAGTCAACTGATAAGTATTTTCTATTGGACTGATTGCAGAATGTCCCATTAATTTTTAAATAAACTAAGTTTTGTCCATTAATTATAGATTTACGGGTCATATGTAAGTCTGCAGAGTAAAAAATTAGTGGTCCCAACCTTTCAATACTGTGGAAGTAAAGTTTAAAGAAAAAAAAAAAAAAAACACACACCAAGGTCCAGGGTTCAACCCCTGTACCTGTCAGCTGCCAATAAAAAAAAAAAAAATTAAAACAAAAGGAGAACAAAAAGAGGTAGAGACTACAGAATTGTTTAACAAATTGAACAATTAAATTATTTAATAAGATTACTTATTAATAATTAAGATTAATTGAGCAGGAAAAAATTACTCTTCCTCAGAGGAAATCCGCTTGAAAACTATGTAATCTGGATCTGAGATGTCTTAATAGTATTCATGAATTCATATCACTATTTGATAATGAACGATGACGGTATTGATAATAACAGCTACTAACATTATCAAGTGCTGGGCAGGGAGTGTTCTAGGTCCTTTATAAACGTATCTCATTCTGCTTTGACAACAACCCTGTGAAGCAAGGACTAGTATTATCTCCCCCATTTTATAGTTAAGAAAACTGAGACCCAAAGGGATTAAACGACTTGCTCTGGGTCACACTGATATTAAATGACATCTGTATTTCTGCTGTTTTGCTGCTAAAAAATAGACCTGAGCTATTCATACCACGAAGTGCAAGGGAGAACATTAAATAATCCAATTGTCTGGTCTTCATCTCAGAGATGCCATAAGTTCTTGAGGTAAGATGGGGCTGCAACTATAAACTGACTAATCTTGAGATTAATATCCAAGGTAAACAACATATCTGTTCACGAGATCAAGCCTGACAAATGGGTCTGGCGCTGTACTGCGTCAGTGGCAGTCAGATCTCTGCAGAGCTTCTCGACAAGAGAATCATTGCTCTTTCAGCTGTCACTTGGGTGTCACTGGATAGTTCTCCCCATAGGCCATCTTCAACAGTAAGAAGTTCCCAAGTTTTTGATTTGTTTGTTTGTTTGTTTGTTTGTTTTACACAATGCAAAGCTAAATAAAGACATTTCTGTACTGCAGACAGAGCAGTTTTTCAACTTCTTTTAAACTTTCTTGGCCTACATTCAGCAAGAGAAAAAAATGAAAGTTACCCTAAAAAATATCTATTCTCACTAATTACATCAGTAGAACAGTCTCAACACATTTACAACTCTTCAAACCACAGTTTTTAAAAAAAACCCTCCAAAAAAAGGCACTCCTAGAGCACGCAGAAGGCTTTCTTTTAAAGAGAAAATAAAACCTGCTTTCGCCTTTCTGAGTATGTTGGAGATTTCCGCACTTGGTAGCTGGCTAGAGAAAACAGTGACACTTAAACCCTGTTACCTCATACCAGAGGCAGCGATTACGACCACAAGGAGTAAATACAGGTGGTGAACACCGACTGAGGGCATCTTAAGTGAGATCAAAGCACAGGAAACGAGGAGCAGACACAGTCCTATCTGAAACCTCAGACTTTCAGTCACACCTCTCAGCCTGCTTCACTTTCCTCTGAAATAACTGAGATATCCCCAGCAGGAATGTTCTGCTAAAGGATGATAAAACATCTTCAAGAATCACTATAGCTTTGTCCAAGCAACTCTACAAAGAGTTCACCTAGGGGCCGAGCCCGTGGCGCACTCGGGAGAGTGCGGCGCTGGGAACGCAGCTGCGCTCCCGCCGCGGGTTCGGATCCTATATAGGGATGACCAGTGCACTCACAGCACTCACTGGCTGAGCGCGGTGCGGCCGGTCTCAAAAAGGACAAAAAAAAAAGAGTTCACCTGGATTCAGACTGTGCGGCAATAGTAACTAGTTCATAAAGGTGGCCTCTGCATTCTTCGCTGATGATGCAGGATAATGTAATTCAGGGGAAAAAATTAATTCAAGGCATTTCTCCATCCCATACACATTAACTACCATTTTTTTTTTTTCCTCTTTGGGGAAAAATTGTGGGCTTTCTCTTTTGGGAGAAAATGTCTAAAAATCTCATGGACCAATAAAATACCTAGTAGTTTTGTGCGTGGCCTTGGGCTCTGCATCCTTTGTCATTATCTTTGCGAGCTGCGCAACATGATGACTATATCCTGAACCACTAAGGGCAAGTTCATTCATTAAGGGTCAAAAGATTCAAGTTCATTCAGCATTTGTGAGTATGGTCCTTCCAAGAAGTTTTTTCACTCTTCATTAGTGCTAATAAACACAAGCAAATCACACTTAATTCATTAAGAGAACTTCATCGACCCAAGCCCTGAATTAGCTTTAAAACTGACTTCTGGAACTTGCTTCAACCAATTCGTCGAAATTATGAAAAAGACCCAGACACAGAACCTCAAGTCCGTTCCATGACGAAATTTTATATGTGTTCCAGAAATCAATTATTGTAACCCATTAACAGTATTCAGTAAGACCAAGAAATATTCAATAAATCAGAAGAAAATGTCTCGTGTGCAAGATTTCTGACTCAATAGATTTTGTACTTTCTTTAAACATTAATCAGGCATATCTCAGAGGAAAAAGAAATTATTCCTGCTTTCTTTAAAGATTGCAAATGAGTACAGGCTGGAGGAAAGAGCGGAGCTCACCTGGTCGATGTCTGTTGGCCGCTTCAGCAGGAAGTGAGCTACCCTGGAACCTTCGAGCTCCAGTCTTACCACTTGTTCCACCAGGATAATGATAGATGACAGAAGCCGAACACAAGCCTTCCAGGGCAGCTGAGCATTTAAAAAAAAAAGTATAATTAGTAGAGTTAGTGGCACATCATTAGCACAAGTTGCAGTGGCTAAGAATGATCTAAACAGTTGGATTATTTGGAAATGCCAATTTTTCCCCAAAACAAAGGCCAAACGTAAAGATTACTAGTCTTCTTGCAAACAGGAACTCGCCACCTGTCTTTCACAGGCCCACGTCCAAGGCTGGAAACAGAAAACTCTCATGATGCCCAAGGCTTCCCTGGGCGGCTGAGGGCACATGCCAGCCTCCTCATACATGGATTCTGCAGCTACAGAGACATGTAGCAGAAAGTGCCCCAGAATGAAAATATTTAAAAGTAACGCCACCAAAGCAGGACCAGAATACCTTTCCATACCACATGCCCTAAACACATCTTTTGTTTGGGGCTGCAGCAAACACTTGCAGAACTGTCTCTTTCTCAAAGGCAGCATAGCTACCTGCTGCTCATGTGCGTTTTCTCTCACTGGCAGTTATATCCTAATAATCTCAAGCCATGCCACATGCCTTCTAAGTTGTGCTACAGTATTCTTCATTAACATCTTTAACCATTAATTTAGTGGTTCTTAAACTTTTGGTCTCAAAACTCCTTGACACTTTTAAAAATTACGAAGGACCACAAAGAGCTTTTTTTTTTTTTTAATGTGGATTACATCCACTGATACTTACCATATTAGAAAATAAAACTGAGAAAAGGATTTAAATATTTATGTATTAATTTCTTTTAAAATAATAAGCCTGTTGCATGCTGACCTTTTTATAAAAAATAATTGTTTTCTAAAACAAAAATGATATACTGGAAGAATGGCATTCTCACACTTTTACGAACTCCTCTAATGTCTGGTTTACTACAAGTCAGCTGGATTCTCCTATTTGCTTCTGCATTCAGTCTGCTATGATGTCAGGTGTCACATCACCTCTGGATAACTCCACTGTACACTCCACAGACTGAGCGTGAAAGAGGCAGACAGTACACAGCTCAGTCCCTCGCCGCGCACCCTTCTTCTTTGAGAGCCCTGCCGACCGCTTTGTCACACGTGGGAGGCACGTGCATGGTCCCGTTCTTTCTGCATATGTTCCGCAGCACAGGCCCTAGTCTTACAGCACAGCCAGTGAGGGGTACTTACACAGACGGCTCTTCCAAAAACAAAGGAAAACCTACACTCTTTCTCATCCTCCTTAGTCCTTCGTTTCTCTTTCCTTTTCCACCTATTCCTAGTTCTCACTCCCTCACTATCCCCACTTTTATTTCTCTATCCTCCTTAAGAAGCCAAATTATGAAATTTAAGTCCATTTTAAGTATTTCTTATATTTAATGTGTTCTATCGCGCTTTGTTACATTTCTATTACAGAACTTACTTCATAAGTGGTTGACAGACAGGCAGGATCCCTTGCTAAACTGTCAACTTCAAGGAAAGAACCCTACTTTAATCCTTACTCACACAACATTCATTTGAACGGGCACTCATGGAGGAACACCCACAGAATGCCAGACGACGGACATATCCAGGTGAAAATGCCTTTCAAGCCTCCCACTCCCAGCCCCAGGAGACACTGCAAGGAAAAAACATAGAAACAAGCGTTTCCAGCACAAAGGGTGGTAACAGATAGGGTTCCAGCTCTGCCTGACTGCCTGGAGGGGTCAGAAGAGACTGTCATTTGAAGTGGGTTTTCTACTTTTTTAATTTAAAAAATTGAGGTACAATTCACATGCCATAAAATTCACCCACTTGAAATGTACAATTCAGCAATTTTTAGCATATTCACAGTTGTGCGACCATCACCACTATCTGATTCCAGAACATTTTCATCATCCCAAAAGGAACCCTAATACCCATCAGCAATCACTTCCCAATCCCCTTCTTCCCAGGCCCTGGCAACCAGTCACCTCTTTTCTACTTCTATAGATGTGCCTATTCTGGTCATTTCATATAAAAGGATTGTGTCTGGCTTCTTTCACTTCTTTCATTCTTTCACAATGTTTTCAAGGCTCATCCATGCTGTAGCGGTATTGGTATTTCATTCATTTTTGCAGCTGAACAATATTCCACTATATGTACATACCATATCTAGTTTATCCATTCGTCATCTTATGTATAGAGGAGGTTTAGAACAATGAGTATAAGAGATGAAGGCCACGGGGAATGGCATTCTAAGCAGAGGTCAAGATGTGCTCAGACAGAGGCAGAAGGAAGTGCCCTGGTCTGGGGGAAACATGTGCCCGCCTTCAGAGGGCTGCAGTGCAGGGCAGGGAAGTGGCAGCAGAGAAGGCAGGCAGTTGCCCCAGACAACCCCAGGCTGGCTGCTCTCCCTCCTTCATCCTTTCTTTTCAGGGACCTTTTGTTTTTTCTGTTTTCTCATATTTCAAATAACAGTTGAAACAATTACATATCAGATTGTCTTCATCAACAATCTTACCTCCCAGCCACAGAAAGTCATTCACAGAGCGAAGCAGCTCCACAGACATGTGGTAATGCACCAAGGAGTCCTGCAGCATCCCCGCCTGGAGGCACAGATCCCCCACGTGCTTCCGCATGCGTCCTTGGCACCGCTTCTTGTAATGTCTAAGAAATAAAATGAGGCAGAAATGTATCATTATTACTACACGCCTCTCGCCCCAAAAGCACACCAGCTAAGCACTACTCAATTCACTCACTACTAAAAAATGCTAAGAAGGCAACTTTAGGCTCTATAACTAAAAGCCAGCAACAGTCATTGCCAGTTATGTAAGCCGGAATGGTCTTGACTTCAAAAATTTACTGCCAAGTGATTTTTGAAAGGTAACAGGTATATAGGACTTCTACCACGTATTTCACTTGGCCAATATTAGAGTAGGATTTTTCTTTTCAGATTTTCCAATCACAATGTTAGCATATAAGAGAGCTTATACTTCAGCTTTTTAAAAAATCAATTATCTTCCACTTTCTTAACTTCAAACCTATTATTATTTTATAAAGAGATATGCTGCGTATTACTAGCCAACCATTTGGCTTTAGTAAGTGAGACCTTCATCTTCACCATTGCAGAGCAAGATTCAATAATGCTTTGAGAGGGTGGGGCCTGGGATGCTCACTACCAGCTCTTTAAATATTGGCAAGGATGTGCTATTAAATAATGCAAAGACTTCTGACTCCATATCAACTCACAAAGCAACTGTGCCAAAATCTTTCTTTACCACTTTTAAATATTCCTAATCTTTTGAATATTAAATTTCTTAGATGTGCTTTTTACAAAAAAAAAAAAAAAAATAGCAGCTGTATTAAATTTTCCCTCACCAAGAAAGCAATCTTACCAAAACAAAACCTCTATGGAAACAAAACCCCGATGGAAATCAAGAAGATGTGAAGTTTCTAACTAAACGAATGTTACTGACAGATCT